TTTGTACCATGATTATATATTTTGTGGTAATCAATAATAGACGTAGCAGAGGGAAATCCTTTATTTGTAAATGATTTTCCCATTACAACCTCCATTTAGTTCGGAGATTTTCTATCGCCACATTTGAATACCGGAGGGTATAGACTACATCTGTGAGTCATGACCAAGGCTTTCTGTGTAGGCACCGAAATGACTTAAGCAAGAAACATATTTTGGATTTGACCAAGATTGTGGATATCACCAACAAGAAATCGTGGATGTAACCAACCAATAACCAACATTTGGGATTTGGTATGCCATAGCAATCTTTTATTTACCCATGGTCGGGACAAATGCGGGTGACCCCTCTATTGCATCATCAACCGGTGGGCAAAGGGCATCTAAGCATCTATGTTTTTTTTTGATGTTTTTTTGGGATACCCTCTGGTAAACGTTTACACAACAATGGAGATTTTCACCATATTTTCAATGGGTAAATCCACTATTTCGACTGGGCCATTTTCAATAGCTATTTTGACATAACCAGAGGGTAGGGGTTGGGGTGGACCAAGGGGGTGGAAGGTTTTCTCGTGCACAGGGTCATTCCCTGGAGGTAAAACTAAGGTAGATGCGGAAAAGCCATGGCTTTCCTAAAGAACATGATCTAGAAATGGTGGGGAAAACCCACATCTCTGTTCGTTTTTTTGGGAGGGTTTATATGAAATGGGGAAAAAACACATAGGAAGTTTCCGGTGAAGATTTTCCCAAGAAAAAACCTCTCCATTTGACGCGCTGAGGCCGTTGTTTGTTGACGGATCATGGCAGTTTCGTGGTCTTCAACGTCTATGTGCCGAACAGCCAAGGCGGCCCTCGATTACCCTTCAAAATGCGGTGGTTGAGAGCCTTAAGGCAGGCCATGCAACGCGAAAGGCGCAAGGGCAAGGCAGTTCTGCTCGCAGGCGGGACAGATGGGCCTGGAAAATGAATGGGAAAAGCCGTTTTTTACATGGAGATTTCAATGGGAAAATCATCTATGGGGGGACAAACATGGGGATATAATAGGGTAAGTGAATGTGGTCGAAGTACTTGGGGGTGAAGGACTGGGGATGAAATTCCTGGCATAACTATGGGATTTCAACATTTCAACATATTTCAAGCGGGATATGGGTCCCTTACAACTATGGTTAATTCTAATCATTCGAATCCACTGCTTAGTGCAACTGCACCGCAGGTAGGGTTTGAACTTTTCGAAAACTTGGAGCTCGATGGTCAAGGGGTATATATAAAGGGCAAAGATCAACCGATCCACCTCCCATTTTTTTTGGATTTTGAAGCATCCCCGTGTCTCCTGATCAATCCAAAGACATGGTGATGCTGAAAAAAAAGGAGAGCCATCACATCACTCTCTGTGGAGATTTGCTGAATGTCTAAAAGATACCACTTAACCCAATCCAACGAGTATCTCGCATGAAGAAAAAAACCTTCAATATCATTAAGTCATACTTCATGATACTTCAATTTAGAATCAATATCAGAGAATTCTTAATAAGTTGCCCATTTTTCGCCATTTTAGCCACTTTTCGCCACTTTTCAGGTGATCTTAATCTGAAGCATCGGAGATGGGACTCCCATTGGAGCTGCCTGGGCCTCGATCAGCAAGATCTGGTACGCGGCCTGGAGTCCGCTAGCGCGGAGGAGACGCTGCAGGAGCTACGCTTGGTGGCCTTCCATTGGCAAGACCTGTGACTGGGCAAAAAACTGGGACTTTTCAGAGGCGATTTACCAAGAAACATCAGGATACCGTTGTGTGTGTTTTTTGATCCTTAAATGGTGATTTAATGGAGTGGAGCCCAAAAAATCGACTTACATCTCGGATTTTCTTTGTTTTTTTTTTGGATTGTCAGGATTTTTATGCCCTTTCCTAAGTTTATTCGTGACTTCTGGCGGAATCAACGCAGCAAGGTTGGAAGCTTTCAGGAACAAGACGGTGACGCAAATGGAGACCAGGATGCCTCCCTTCATCCCGGAAAATCCATGGGATTTTTCCGCAGAATGCCTGACTTTTTGGTGGGAAAAATATGAAGAAATCACCATTTAAAGAGACTTACAGAGATCTGGAATAGCATGTGTTTTTTTTGAGTTTTTTTGGAAGTCATACTGACAAAAATGTGTGTGTTTCCCATACTATGTCATACTATGTGATAGCTATGTCACAAAAAGTGAGGTGATGATGAACATTTACCGCTTACCCTCTGCTAAACTCACAGCTTGCTATTGAAAAGGGCCATAGAAATAGTTGATTTTCTGATTAAACATTGTGATTTTCCATCGTTTTTTGTATGTTTACCAGAGGGTCATTTTTGGGGTTGGCTCGACCACCAAGATTGGTGTCACGAACGTGCAGGAACTCGAAGAATGGTCAGACCTTTCAGAGACTTGCCGCTCTCAGGGGTTGGTTTTGAAGGATTCCTGAAGTACAATCTGCCTCTTTACTATATTTACTGCTGGGATTACTATGAAAACTGAGGTGGGATAGAAGAACATCCAACCTGACTGCTGTGTTTTTTCGTGGTTGGATTTATATGGATTTCTCGCTTTTCATCCCTGGATGGAAGCTGCAAAATGCTGATTTTGGGATGGGCGAGAGCCCGAAAACATGGGCGAAAGTTGGTTCGTCCTCAGGTCAATGGGAGGCTCCAGCATGAAAGATTTACCCTGACATTTTTTGTGTACGACGATCTTTCAGGGATTGAAACTGGCAAGGGATTAAACAACAAAAATTGGAACGAAATAATTGTTTAATGCTGGAACGACAGATTAGATTATTTTTGGACTGTGATATTTTCATCCCGTTTTTGTGTATCCAAGTCTTGACCCTATTTTCACGCAATGTCCACATTTGCTGGACATGGCCAGTTGCAGCCTTGGCGAATGCTATGCTGTTTGGACATGTGGAAGGAACACAGCTGGAGGAATTTTCTGGATGGGTACCACATTAGGGTGACGATGAGTGATCCCAGAGGTTTTTGGGGTTCATAGAGGGTTTTGCCTTCGACTGTACTGGCTTTTCCGATATCACTGGTGTTGACATGTGTTGACGACTCGTCTTTGGTGATATCACAGAGAATGGGCCCCCAGAAACGACTTTGGAAGATGATTTTCCAGAGGGGGGCTGGAAACAGTGCCATCTACCCGTGGTCACACCTTGTGGTGTCCAGCACTTCAACTTTTCGGATGATGATGATGATGATGATGATGATGATGATGATGTCTTATAATTAATCATGATGATGATCCTGGTTGGTGATGATGCTGTTGCTGATGATGATCAAATTATATAATAGTCTTTTTCAGGTGATTTTCAAGCTTTCTTATCTACAGCATTCTTTTTGGCACTTTCCAGTCACTCTCCCGTAATCAAACATGGCAACGGAAAATCCTCCATTTATATCCATTTATTTCGATGGGATTTTTCCAAATCGCAGGCCTACAAATATAGGGGATTTCCAGCCATGTTTGAGGCCAGCGGAGGGTATTTCCTCAGGAAATTTGGCATCTGGGCCAAGCCTTTCCGTTCTCCGAGCCCGTTACAGACATCCTCCAGCCCTGCCGAAGTGCGGATCGGTCCCCCTGTGGAGGCAAGGTTCAGGGCGACAAACAGGGAAACGGATGATGAACCAACCATTTTATGGTTTTATGGGGATATAATGGGATATAATATGTATAATATCATCATATCATATAAAATATAGTAGTCACATATATATATATAATATTGTTCTATTTTCTATGATATTATAGTATAGAACCAACATCAGTCGATTTTGGGGTTCCAAAATAAATTTGGACACAACAACTAAAAAGAGGGCCGGAATTGTTTTTGTTTTGTTTTTTCCCTGTTTTTTTTTGCTCTGCTTTTCTGCCCGTTTTCCTTTCTATTTGCAGCATTTTGGAGCTGGAAGCTGCCATTTCAACTGTCTTTGCAACATTTTGGAGTTGGAACCTCTCATTTTTCGTAGACTTTGCAGCATTTTGGTGGAATAAGTAACATTTTGGAGCTGGAAGCTGCTGTTTCAAGGGTAGTATTTGCAGCATTTCTTGAGTTCAAACCTCAATTTTTGATGGGATTTGCAACATTTTGGTGCTCGAACTGTTCATGTAACATGGTAGTTCTCGACTAGGGTTCATTTAGGGTTTTAGGCTTAGTTTAGTGTTTTAGAGTTAAGGTTTATGTAGGATTTTTTTGAGGATTGGTTTAGGATCTTTTTAGGGGTTGTTTAGGGTTTATTTAGGCTTGGTTTGAGACGTATTTGTGGTTGGTTTAGGACCTATTTAGTGTTGGTTTAAGGTTTGTTGAGGGTTGGTTTAGGATCTATTTAGAGTTGGTGCAGAACCTATTCAGGATTGGTTTAAGGTGTGTTTAGCGTTGGTTTAAGATTTATTTAGGTCTGGTTTAAGATCTATTTAGGGCTGGTGTAAGGTATATTTAGGATTACATTCAAATTTATTTAGGGACTGTTTAGGGTTTACTTAGGGTTGCTTTAGTGTTCTTTGGTTGGTTTTTCCTTTTTTTTGATGGCTGAATTAGGGTTTATTTATATGAATTTATACGATGTTTCTTAAGGATTATCTGCAGTATGAGAAACAAAAAAAAGAGGGAACAGCAGAGAAGCAGAAGAGCAGATAAGCAAAGAAGCAGGGAAAAGCAGAAAGCAGAGAAGCAAAGAAGCTGGAAAAGCAGAAAACCAGGGAAAATGAGGGAACAACACAAAAGCGGAGAGGCAGAGAAGCAGAGAAGCGAAGAAGCAGAGAAACAGAAAAGTGGAGAAGGGAAGCAGCGAACAGCAGAATAGCAAAAAGCAGAAAAGCAGATAAGCAAAGAAGCAGGGAAAAGCAGAAAGCAGAGAAGCAAAGAAGCAGGGAAAAGCAGAAAGCAGAGAAGCAAAGAAGCTGGAAAAGCAGAAAAGCAGGGAAAAGCAGAAACGCGGAGAGGCAGAGAAGCAGAAAAGCGAAGAAGCAGAGAAACAGAAAAGTGGATAAGCAAAAAAGGAAAGAACTATAAAAGCAGAGAAGCAGCGAAAAGCAGAATAGCAAAAAGCAGAGAAGCCGAAAAGCAAAGAAGCAGGGAAACAGAAATCCAAAAAAAACTTGGCCCAAAACGGAAAAAACATATTTCCCAAAATATTCATAGCCCTATTCATAGCCCTCCACTAAAAAGTGGCTCAGCGGAGGATGAAGGGATGGCCAGATGCAGCTTTCCAGTGGATGGAGTGGGCGTGGATGAGAACGGGACGCCGATGGCTCAGCGGAAGGGTGCCTCGAGAATCTCCAAATGTTTCTGGAAAACATGGGAGTCTAATTACCCTCTGGTAAACATACAAAAAGCTATTGAACATGGCCCAGTCGAAATAGGTGGATTTACCCATTAATAGCATGGTGAAATTTTCCATAGTTATGTAAACGTTTACCAGAGGGTATCTAGAATTGGGTCATTGCCTGGTGATAACGGTGAGTTTTCTATTTTTACAGCCAAACTCTGGCTGTACGCCCCCTAAATTCGATGGTCAGTTTTTTTTGGACCCATTTTCGTTGGTGAAATACCTTCTCTTCAGGGGGTTGGTGATGAAGAATGTTATGCCCGAGCTGTACCCTCTGGTAAACGTTTACATAACTATGAAAAATCACCATGTTTAATGGGTAAATCCACTATTTCGACTGGGCAATTTTCTATGTCGCAAACTGTTAGTCATTACCGGAGGGTATGCCCGAGCTGTACGTTTTTGATTAAATGGAGATCCATTTTTAGCAGATGTCCACGTCAGACGGAGCCCGTCCTTCCACTTCGATCCCTTTTTTCTTTTAGTTTTTCACCCATAGAATGGATGGGGCCCCCCAGTGATGTTTGTTGGTTTATATACCATAACAAAACCCCCATGAATACTAGTTCGTTATATCTACCATAAACCATAGAATTCAACCACTTTTTTAAGGCAACTGAACGCTATCGAACGGGGGCCCCATCCTGTAGAATGGAGGCTTAACAGTGAATAAAGCATACCAATAGATATCACATATACTATAGACATATACCATATACATATATATATATGTATACATACACATAGAGAGAAGCTGTAGATCACACGTCACCTGCATCACCTATCCCACCCTTTGCTGATTCCAAAGCCCTGGGCATCCCTTTTTTTGTCACCAAGACTGAGACTTCAGATGGGAGACACGAGCGTGGAATATGTGCAGGGGCCCAAAAGGACTACTACGAGTAGACGCTTGCGTGGAGTACTCGGAGGATCATCCCACTTAGCAAGTGGTGAAAAGAACCAAAAAGTTTGTAAGTTGCCAAAGTGGGGTTATCCCAGATATAAGTGGGGTTATAGATTTTTGTTGGGATATTCCTTGATTGTCAGCAGTAGAAACGGCAAAACCACTGGGAAATGATGGCGAGAACACCATTTTTCTTGGGTGCTTTTCCTCAACAAGAATGGGATGTTCATGGATAGTCATCTATAAACACCCCGGGCAAGAATCAAGCAGAAATGATGGGGTGTTGCTGTTGGGGTTCTACTCGACTACAATCCAGTTGTAGAGAGATAATCAGGGTAATGAGCTTCTTATCCTTGCATTTTTCACCTCATTCTCTGTGATGTCCGCCAAAGTGTCATGACTCATGACCCTTCTGCTACATGGGTTTGTTTCGAAAAAAAGCGACTCACAATGACCGCTTTGATGGGAAAATGATGATAAGCAACCATGTTTTTTTTTTTTGGGGGGGGGGGTATCCCCCATTCTGGCCAACCTCACTATAGATGATGAGTAGGGGGGTCATCTCACCCATGGCCGCGACTCTGGAATGACGGGACTTGGATTGCAGTAGCTATCCCGAAATGACTATATAAAGATTTCAGGTTGGTGACATCTTACTCATCCGGAACTTTTCTTTTGTGAACTATTGTCATCTATTGCCATTTACCCATATTCTTGGACAACAAACACATTTTTTTCAAAAATTCTGAGGCTAAGAAGGAAGGGTGAGCTTTCTTTGGGCGAGCTGCTCGAAGGCCGCTCGGGACGGGTTTTCTG